TTATTTTGATTGAAATTCAATCAAGAGGTTGTGATTTGCTGTTTGTATTGCGCTCAATGTGCAAGATTCATTGTTGATTTGACAACGCTATTGTCATTATGAAATTATATGCATCCACACCAGTAATGTCAAAATAAAAATATTACCCCTGGAAGTTGTGGTTGAACAATTTTCAGCTGCCATTTTGACTTTCTAATTGTTATTTAAATATTTATAACTGCAAATCATATCAATCATCAATTATATATCCATGTGAGATGTTTATAATAGTTTTGGGGTTTGAAATATGGTGTTTTTCAGAATACCAGAGTTGGAGATGATTGAACTCAAAAGTGAGAATCAGAGATGGAAAGCCAATTTAATATTATTCAAATCTCCAGAAACTATTTCTGTTGGAAAGCCCTGCTTATCATTACTAGGTGGATCGTTTTACCACTTACAGTAGAAAACAAGGATTATGATACCGTGGCACTGATGTACCACTCCGATGTTACACGCCCGGCAAAAAAACACCTTTTTCTTTATACATGTATATGCAAGGATTTATTACTTAAATAGTGTGAACGCAAGAATTGAGTGAAATTTTGCTTAAATATGCATCAAAGGGTTCTGTACATGTACATATTATATATACTACATGTACCGGTACCTACCATACATGTATCTGCTCTATGAGAAGTGCATCTCTAATACAAGCATATGTATTGAACCACTGGATCATTAAAATGTTAGCGCTTGTCACATTTACATGTATGTGTTCTATTGTCTTTGATGAAACCAATTAAAAGACATGCTGTATTTGTTCTATCAAAAATGCATGAAAGAGCCGAGTCTATGATCAAAGTAAGACATTCGATCTACATTTGATATACCAGTATGCAATTTTGGTTTAATGTTCTATTGGGCTTCTATTCTACTAATACACTATTGATCCTGAGCCTGATTGTTGGCTCAGCTGTGAAGGTAGTTATAATGTATCTCTGACTATCAAAGGACGATTCAAGGGAAGAACACTGGTGGAAGCTAAAGTACATCGGAACTTAAACTTCTTTGATACGCATAATTTTGAAACATTTTTCCCTTATGCAGTTTAAGCACAGATGTCCTGCGGAGAATTATAATATTAAAATGTTAGCTACATTTGTATTGATGCAATACTCATTACCACCTCACAATGGAATAATACTGCAATGAATTGGTGATCACATTCACTACTAGTCCCAGAAGTCATTTCTCCACACCTGCATTTCTTTACTATGAATTGACCAAAATTCCATTCTCTCTAGAGCTTTAAAAATAATTAAAATTACTGATAAATGTTGCAATGCAAGTATTGAATACCTGTCAGTCATTAAAATTATGTGAGAGGTGTTTTTTTCTGGACAAATTAGCAGTTAGTATTTCACTGAGGGGTTTTGAATTTGAAGGAATCACAGTGAAAAATTTTAAATAAAGTATGTGTTCAGTAGAAAATAATGATGATATTCGTTATAACATAAATAATTTGTATTTGCATTTCAAGTTTTAGGAAAGTAGGAAATGGTTTGGGGATTTTCATAGGTCAACCCTATATAACTTGTGAAGAAAGAAACATTCATTTGAAATTTAGTACAAATAGAATTATTGTATGTTTACACAGTAACCATAATTGTACATGACTGTTTTTAAACAACGTAAACATTTTTATTGTGTAGCTTGTATGTACAGGTCTTATTTTAGTGTAAATGTACATGATAGGAAGATTTGATTAACAGTTGGAAATGTAGTGTATAATTATAAAAACATATTTTTATATATGTAGAAACAATTATAAATGATAGACAAGGCTTCATCTATAATTATTAATTAATAAATATTCAAACATGCTATATGTAATAAAATATTACCTGGTACCCCCTTAAGGAATGAAATTTTGGTTGTTAAAAAACTAATTAATTGACAACTGATTTTTTTGATAATTTCCCCATATAGTTTATTATTCTAGAAATACATGTTATATTAATCAGTACAATATCACCAGTACATCTCACAGAGTTCTGTATTTGTAATGCAGCCTTGTTGCCCATTCTCACAAATTCAGTGAGAAGCACTTTTCTTTAAGGCTGGCAAAATTTTGCTTACCAAATCAGATAAAGGATCATTTTTTGTAACCACGGAAAGCAAAACTTTCTCTTAAAAAAGGATTAATGATCAACCATTTGAAATTGAGGAGGGAATTTTGTTTTGTTTGCACGGTTCTTTTTCTCAATACAATGGAATATGTATTTCCATACATTTTATAGAACTCACTGACTTTTAAATATATATATTGAATAGCAGCTGACTACCCATCCGTATTTATTTTCAAAGTGTGAGCTTTTATCTATTTCACATGGAAATGTTGCTCATTGTAGTATTTTTATTATTGGGACATGCAGCCACACAGCTGCCATGCTGCAAAAATTAAACATTTAATAAAAAGTGATGTTAAATTATGTATGTAACATAAAAGTAAACATATTATTTTAGATACAAAGATTATTGTTTTACAAGTGTATTTTGCTAGTTGCCTTGAGTGGCATGTTTATTGCCTTAAGAAGTAATATTTGAAAGATCTAATTCATCATTTATATGTGTTTCTATTGAAGCACGCTTCTAATAGAGCAAATACAGTGTGGACATTTAATAGGATAAAGACCTTAGTGAAGTGCATGCAGTTATACTGCTATTTATACCACAGATATTTACACGTAACTTAAACTTATATTGCAATATTGGTAAACTATCATCGTCATCATCAGTTACACATGAAGGTGTGCTTCCAGTGGACTAAAACGGCTTACACTCACTCAGTGTTTATTTCCCTGTGTTTTCCATAGCAAACTGTTTCTATTATAATACATTTGTTTAATGTGCATGACCTTTGTTGTACTGAATTCACAATGTATACAAATAAATTCCATATCGTGTCGTTGTTATGTTGGTAGTGTGTCGCTTTCAACCCGTATGCTAATTTTCCATGTCATGTGACCTGTAGATAGCCATTTACATTTACACTGATTGTTCAAAACATGACGCATAATAATGGATGCCATTAATCCACAAGATTGTATTCAACCATGAATGCTTGTCAACGTTTGCCATTTTAACTGTAATCGTACGATAGTTCTTCATGACAAAATTGGATTTTCCTGTTTTCACTTGCCACCTGTCCTATGTTACATTTCAAATTGATTGTTGTAGTATTTCAGATGTGTCAATATAGGACAATGAATTGATACCATGAGGTTATGAACTTGACACTTTGATCAGCTTTTATTGGGGCTGTCAGAAAATACTACCTACCGTCAGGAGCAGTAATTATCGTGTCAATAAACCTTAGTACTCTGACAGATTTAGGTCATCAGTTTTAGTTTTAATTAATTCCACTTCAGTCAGCTAAGGATATCATAGAATTAGCATAATTGTTGCATGACTTATAGGATATATTTGGCAGTACATAATTTTGTTGAATGGTTATTGTTGTTATAGTAACTGCAATTATACATACACATGCATGTACCTAGATGTTAAACAATAGATATCAGCTGTAGTTCAGACGATTTTTTGAAACATATTGCTTGTATTTACATATACAATGCAGTATACTAAATATCAGTTCATCAGTATTGGCACAACTTTTTAAAAATATAAGTGAAGAATCTGTCTATATACAATATCTAATAAAAACAATCACATTGGAACATTTGTTATGGGTTATGGACCATATTATACAGTTTGTCAGTTATCAGTAATAACTGTTATCTGTATATACATTTTATTAAAACGCTGTTTATTCAAATTTTGTGTAAACATACAATATATTTTGTGCATGTTGCAGTGTTCCTCTATATAGTACCCCAAACATAGAAATTGCTCTTTGATGCCATTTTCAACAGTGCTACTTTATATACCGTATCACTCACTATACTTGTTATAGAATATGAGTGGGTTATCTTTGTTTGTTTTACCAAGAGTTATGACTGTACGTGAGAAATTTAGTTTAATGTTGTAAATATATTATAAACTGACCATGTTCTGAATAGTTGTATCTCTAAACCAATTTCACAAGAAACAATTTTTGCAGTAGTAACAATTTCTCTAGGAGACTTTTGCTCAATTTTGTCTTTATGAATGTCGTAAAATCCCCAAATCGCAATAGTTTCTAACAGTAAAAATTAAATAGTTTCCAGTGTCAAGGTAATAATTTCAATATAAATGTAATCCATCACTTTTCAAGACAGAACGAACAAATATGGAATATGTCATCCATCATTCTTTCACAGTTTCCATAGCAACAGTTCAAAACATATATGTGTGTCAAGTGTTTGTCTTGAGTGAATCATATGTGCTGACGTCAGAAACAACTTCAGTATTTATTCTAACTATTGATTTTATTGTTGACTGTTGATATAAAATATTTTCAAAGTATGAATAAAATTCTGTATATATAAACCTGCAAATAATGTTTTATTGATTTTTGTATTGAAAATGTGTCAAGGTCAGTCTCCACAAATATGTGGCAGGTTTAATCTTAAACTTGAGATATGCAATAGATGCAGTGATTGTTAACAAATTCTGCTTCTCAGACTCGTAGTATATGGAGGGATGAGTATTTTGTGACACAGCATACATAAATGTTGATTGGCTAATACGATCTTTGTAGTATTACGTGGAAATTGCCTGGTGACGTTCTTGTTGAGACATGCATGAAGGCGTTTACATGCTATAACAGTCTCTCGGGCCTTGCAGCCCTCGCTTGAAATACCCTCGGCATTTCGTTGACACACCTACGGCGTTTGAAAATAAGTGACTATTTATTAGGCCTGATAACTGTTAACAGTATCACACAGGCCAAAACCACTAAACTAGTAAATAACACTATGCATAAAAATGAGAGAATAAATAAAATACATCACTGGAGGGTGCTGTTGACTATGTAAGTTGTTAAACCAAAATTTTGAATTCAATGTTTATTTCAGGTGGTTGCTGCGGGGCCAATTCAAAGAAAACTGTGATCGGTGGATGGGCATGGGCATGGTGTCTAGTCACGGATGTTCAGAGGCTAACCCTGGAGGTGATGACATTGAATCCACTATGTGAGAGTGTGGAGACATCTGAAGGAGTACCGCTAACAGTCACTGGGGTTGCCCAGGTCAAAGTTATGACAGAGCCAGAGTTACTGGGGACTGCTTGTGAACAGTTCCTGGGCAAGGATTTAGAACAAATACAGAATGTTATTCTGCAAACAATGGAGGGTCATCTCAGAGCTATTTTAGGTGAGTTTATATCTATATTCATTACATGTCATTTAGAAAGAACAAATGGAAATTGGGGAACAGGCAGGCTTATAGTTACACAAATAAGGAGAGACAAGGAATGATTGAGAGAGAAATCATGAGGTAGATTGGGGGTAGAGTATTGATGGAACTGTTGAAAAGCTTTGATAGAGAGCCATGCATACAACTATCCTAAGGACATTTCTCCCAGCGTTGGACTCACTTTATTTCATTCTCCGTTGCATTGATTCAGCAAGACTTCCTTGCATCTACTTATTACTTGCTGCAAGAGGAAATAAGAGTTTAGCATGTTTTATCCCTTTTATATTTTACTTGATAACATTGGATAAGAATGCATCATATTAAAGAAGGACTTGAAAATGGTATAATAAAAAATTGAACTCATCTTCTATCTATATTAAATATACCTGAAGATATTCTAAATTTACAATATCTGTACTGTACCATATCTCTTTTATAGATTGTCCAATTTACCATATATGCTCTAAGCATAAAAATGTCCAAATCTTACCAAGACATGCATAAAATGTAATGTGAAAATTAAAGGTCGAGTAGTCGGATAATAAAATCGTTTTTGTAGGGTAATAACTTATTTAGGGTATAGAACCTGAAGGAATTAGGTTTTTTGTCTTCCATTGCACTTTTAATGTTGCCCTTATTATAGTACTTATAGCGCTGTAATATTATTTATTCTTCAAAGAAACGTAAAATCCACAGTAAGTTGTAAATCTGAATAGCTAAATATCTGATGTTGTTTCATTTTCGTCACAGGTACCCTGACTGTTGAAGCAATTTTTCAAGACAGAGACCAGTTTGCGTCCTTAGTACGTGAAGTAGCTGCACCCGATGTGGGTCGTATGGGCATTGAAATTCTTAGTTTTACCATCAAGGATGTGTTCGATCGAGTCGACTACTTGGATTCATTGGGCAAATCACAAACAGCTGTCGTCAAGAGAGATGCAGATATTGGCGTTGCCGAAGCCAACAGGGATGCAGGAATTAAGGTGAGATGAGGAAAAACTTAACAGTGGAGTTTGTGACTCAGTGTAGTAGACAATTTATTGATTTGATTTTATGGTGGATATCAGTATCTTCGACTCAGAGGGCATGAATGTACCATTCTTCACTGAGAGAACTGTACAGTGGGATTATTAGCCAAAATATAGTGTTGCATACTTTATGGTATTTTACTTTTATGCATCTTTTTGATCCAATTGCTTGGTGTCTGTAGCCAAACAGGACTGAACTGGCAATGTGGTGATAATTTGTACAATTTTCTCGCTCCCATTTTGAAACTTTCACTGCTATCTTGGCATACTGAAACTGTGATTTATTTTTATGCTATAACTTTATTCACTATTCCAGTTGGTTTGGCAGATTGTGTTGGTTTCTTTTTATTTGTTTCGCTAAATCCAGATGTGAAGACAACTGAGAACTGAAAAAATGTTGTTGTTTTTTTCCACACTAACTATTTTATGTCTTCATAGGAATCAGAGAGTCAAAAACAAATGATGGATGTGAAATTTGACGCAGATACAAAAGTAGCAGACTCTGCCAGAATGTATGAATTACAGAAGGCTGGTTTTGAGAAAGAAGTTAACGCAAGGGTAAGGTTTTCATCTCACGTCATTGTCATTTTAATAGTTGTGTTCATGCTTAGAGATCCAGGCCTGTGCTGAGGATCAGGACTGAGTCGACGTGTGACAAACATCAACTTAATCTCTGTCTCAATAGAGAGTAGGAATCCAACTTGAACATGATATTGATGTGTTCATGCTCAGCAACTGCTGCTGAAATCATGGCCTTAATTGTGAACTTGAAACAAAAGTTTTGCTGTTCTACAAGAACATTGTGGTAAAAATAATCAAATATCAAAGCAAATGAGCTGGTAGTGTTCAAGAAGAATTCAAAAATATCATTTTTTACCCAAAAAATAAAGAAGTGATGATATCAGCACACCTTGTAAATCAACGAATAAATCATTGAAATCTCTTGTGTATAACATGTGGTTAATTTTCAAGATGTCAATTCCTGTGGTCTCTTATTATAAATTATATTTAAATATTATATTGATAGTTGTGAAATATTGGGACTTGAGTTACAGTACCATATCCTGTTTAGAGTGTACATACAGTGAAGAAGAATTTTACTTGTCACATGTAGACAAATGATCAGTAATGTTAAATTCAAGATTAGAAAAAAAAACTGCTCAGGCTAAAGCAGACTCATTTATTATGTTACAGAAAGCAGAAGCTGAACTTGCGTACGAACTCCAGGCTGCCAAAGTCAAGCAGAAGATCAGGAATGAGGAAATTGAGATTGAAGTTGTGGAACGTCGTAAACTGATTGATATTGAAGAGAAGGAAATTGCACGTAAAGAGAAAGAGCTGATAGCGACTGTAAGGAGACCAGCAGAAGCGGAGTCGTATAAACTAGAAACACTGGCTGAGGGTAGAAGGTAAGTTTTCAAGCAATCTTCAAACTTACTTTGTACAGCAATATATAATTTCATGAGTTACCAATATGCCAGTGCTTTGTGTACCGGTAATAGTTGTAATGAATATAGCTTGCAATTTAATATTAGTCTTCGTTTTTTGATTGGTGACTATCAATATTTTTCCATGATTTTTACTTTTAATAAACCAGTTTCTTGTTGTTCGTGCCTATTTATAATGAGCATCACCAAAATGTGGTCACTGAAAGCATAGCATACGGGTATGTGCTATATACCAATGTTGTACATTGAATTGCTTGCAAGTGAAAAAAGATGTTACGCCTATATCTCCAGAGGGCGCCGTCTTTTGAAATCCAGTTTTCTCAAGCGAACTCGGGGATTACGGTACAAGATGCCAACTTACCGGGGGATATGGGCAAAATATGTTGCCATCTTTGGAAGCTAAGCCTCTCTCTGACATCCTCTCACTGATGATTTTTTATGTCATTCCCAAAATTAGTCTACGGTTCCCTTCACGTGATCTAGATTTCAACGAAATGGGACTAGTTGACCCTTAATTTTCACATCACATTTAATTCAACATTAGCCTTGTGTATGGTCGCTTTGCCAAACAATATTACGGCTTCAAAGAAATGCCTGGCTCATTTTGATGTTTTTCACCAATTTCTTGGCTATTCTGATGAAATATCCATACATTAATTTGGTTATTTCCTTTTTTTAATGACATTTTTTAAAACATTTGTGTTGATACTAAAAATCTGAGATGATCTTAAAAGGGTCTTTACAACAAAATACAAGAAACATCATTCCATATTCTGATTATCAAGATAGTGATGACTTCTATTCAAAAAACTAACATACCGTAATTATGTGGATATTCAATAAGGAGGAGCAACTGAAATGATGTGCTTTGATCAGAGGTTCTGTATTCACTGGTTGATTTGTCAAATTCCTACAGGACGCAATCTATTTTGACGGCAAGTGCTGAAGCTGAGAGGATCCGTGTTGTTGGCGGTTCAGAAGCTAGCTCTATTGAGGCTATTGGTAAAGCTGAAGCTGAGAGAATGAGAATGAAAGCAGCAGCTTATAAACAGTATGGAGACGCTGCTATGATGAGTCTTATCTTGGAAGCTATGCCAAAGGTACTGTACTACAAACTGCTTTCATTTGGTGGGAGATGAATTTTAGCAAATTTTGCAAGTTTGGAGAAAAGCACCAAATTTTTTATTAGTGAACATTTCACTGATGTTCTCAAGATATGAAGACATAGTGTCTGTAACTGCTTTTTTCAGTAAGGACGTACTGCTAGGAATATTCTTGATTTGATGATCATGGCATTTGTGAAACCAGAGAAATTTTCCAGGTATTAGAGGTATATAAATTAAGATACTTAAGTACTAATTGAAGTTTTCTTTCTTTCTTTTCAGATTGCAGCCGAGGTGTCTGCACCGTTGGCAAAGACAGATGAGATCGTTCTGCTAGGCGGTGAGAACAAAACAACAAGTGAAGTCACAAAATTACTCGGTCAACTCCCACCAGCAGTACAAGCACTCACTGGTGTTGACCTATCTCATGTAAGTTCATGTTTTCAGTAATCACATGTGTCCATTGCACTGTTACAATGTAACTGCCCAACTTCAGTGAGTCCCAACACATTATGAAGACTGTATACCCTCTGAACTTTTTTTAGCTCCGCTGTCGACTTTGTCGAGCGGAGCTTATCATATGAGTGATTGTCCGTCGTCGTCCGTGTCAATGTTTTACTTTTTCGACTTCTTCTTGAAAACTACAAGCCTAAATGCTTTGATACTTGGTGTATATGTACCTTGGTTAGACCTCTCTTAGGTTTGTTCATTTCATGTTGATATCTTTAATTCTCTAATTTTGGTGAATATTTTTGTCATTTTTGGTAAAAACTGATATTTTCGACTTCTTGTTAAAAACCGCAAGTGCAATTGCTTTGATATTACATTTATAGGTACTACATGTGGACCTCTCTCAGATTTGTTAATTTTGTAATGATATCTTTAATTCTTTAATTTTGGTGAATATTTTTGTCATTTTTGGTAAAAACTGATATTTTCGACTTCTTGTTAAAAACCGCAAGTCCAATTGCTTTGATACTACATATATAGGTACTACATGTGGACCTCTCTCAAATTTGTTCATTTCGTGATGATATCTTTAATTCTTTAATTTTGGTGAATATTTTTGTCATTTTTGGTAAAAACTGATATTTTCGACTTCTTGTTAAAAACCGCAAGTCCAATTGCTTTGATACTACATATATAGGTACTACATGTGGACCTCTCTCAAATTTGTTCATTTCGTGATGATATCTTCAATTCTCTAATTTTGGTGAATATTTTTGTCATTTTTGGTAAAAACTGATATTTTCGACTTCTTGTTAAAAACCGCAAGTGCAATTGCTTTGATATTACATATATAGGTACTACATGTAGACCTTTCTCAGATTTGTTCATTTTGTGATGATATCTTCAATTCTCT